TTAATGAGATCTAAGATTTTCGATAGTACTCTTACTAAGCTAGGTTCAGTTGAACCATTAAGAAACCGCAGCGCCCCCCGGAGATGTCAAAATCTGGTGTTACTGTCCAACTCTCTAAGCTCACAACTATAGTCAAGTGAATACATTATGTTTATATATATTATAGATACTGTGACGGCGCCTTACACATATAATAAAATAACACCTATAATAATATGTAACAACAGTAAGTTAACAATCTTTACAGCTAACAGCCTCTGTTAGTGAACTCATCAGAAGCTACTGAAACAATGATTCTTAACATGAAGCAAGTCCCGCAGGAGCTACATACAAATGTATGGATAAAGCTTGTATTAAAAGACATTGACTGTTTGAGCCGCTGCAACACTCCACCTTCAACACTACACTTGATACTTCAAGTCTTTTACATTCTAATATGTTTAAATCTCAGTCACTTCCCTCTCCATATAATGTGTAGCTCATTGTCTTTAATATATTGTGTCTAGTGTAATCACACACTCATGTTTCATTAATAGCTACCTGGTTCATTGTTAGTTTTCATCTAACACTTGATGATCAGCCGTCATCTCCTGATGGATGAATCAAGTACAGTCCAATAACACCATCTGTAATACATAATACAATATATTAATACTGTTCACAAACAATATTGTCCATATATAAAGACATACAGAGACAATTACATCAAGGATTGTTTGAAAATAAAAATATAATATTTTATATTAATCTTAAAATATCCACAAATAAATTACACTTCATATCACTATGAAGGTTTATTATTCAAATAAAACAATTCTTTATATATCAATCTAGTTAGTATCATCATTAATAACATACTATATAATGTATGGAATTATTATTAATATTCTGTTGAAAATATTGGATTCCTACAGAAATTATAAATGTTTATACTTACACTAAATACAAATTGATTTTACTTAAAAAGTTTAACACTATTAAAACACTTTTATTATAATCAATTATTCTAGAAAGACGCCATGTGGATTTCATTATATATAATATCAACAGCACATGAGGAATTCTAAAATGAATGTGTTGATAACGGTTTACTCAATATAAGAGATACATTATGCAGAAATTAATAGTACATACCGTCACACTACTATCGTACATCAGCTACATACACTTCTCTTCATAGAAGGGTTCCTCTCGTCCGCAGACCACGTCCTAACAGACGCTACACCAACAGCTTCGACCCTCATCTTGAATTATATATTCTTACGAGTCCTGTAACGTAACGAATGATTCTAGTTTATATAATGACAATAGATTTCTTACTTAAATATTCGACTTACAAGAAGTCGCATTTTAGAGTGTGAAAAACATAATAATAAAGAAGGCCATTGAAACGATATAACGTTGAAAAACCCTGCGGTCAATGTTACGCTTAGAGAATAATTCAAAATATACTATTAAAATAAACTAGTACTCTTATTGCTACAGATAATAAACACTAATATTAAACAAAACTAAAAGTGTTACTTAATAAACATTTGAATTTGAGCGATATGTCAATAATATAAAAAGTAACATTTATTAGTACCTATGTGCAAAAAAAAAACACTCACCATGAAGATAACCGACGTAAAACACATCCATCATAAGGAAGGCCGCGGCCGACTGCCACCAGAGGCACCAGAGGGAGCCGGAAGGACTGGAAAGACATGAGAAATGAATTTTGAAAGCTATTAATAGTAAAATCATAAAATGTAAATTAATAAAATTACAAACTAACAATAAACGAGCCGTCAGGTTGGCCAGTTGGCCACACTAAGAATCATGGGGAATGGGGATGAAACCGTCATATACATAATTATAGTGTAAGAAAATAATATATAGATAATGCTGCCATCTAAGTGTACAAGGTACAACAACTTTGACACTATTTTCCATAGATAATACACTATATTACTTTTATATTGTAATTTTAAATTTATATTCATTTCTATATTTGTATATTAATTGTCTAAAATTTATTTAATATTATTATTTCTTGCGACGGACAAACTTCTTATTACATTGTATATATCGAGGATGCGCGCTGCGTCTATAGTTCGCGTCGTCCGGGCCCGCGCACCTGTAGCCCCGCTGGCACCCGCTAGCGGCCTAAGGAACGAACATAAATTTTGAACAAAGATAAATAAGAAGGTAAACATACAGCTGTAAGGAAAAAGTCACGGAATTATGAAATAAGGAGAATAGAAACAAGAAATATATAATAGGAGTTTTATTTACATTAAGCTCATTGTTTCTATGTAATATAATTTTTAATTTTTATATCAAGAGAGTACAATGAATGAAATTCTTCAACAATGATACGTATCAAAATTGTACATAAAGTCTTTCAATATGATTTTATCTTATACTAGCTTTCCGCCCGCGGCTTCGCCCGCGTGGAGTTCGGTTATATCGTGTTTCCAAGAGAACCTTTTCAAAAGTTTGCGATAAAAACTATTCTATGTTCTTTTTCAAGGTCAACTCTATCTTTGTACCAAATTTCATTAAAATCAGTTCAGTGGCTTAGGCGTGAGAGCGTAATAGACAGACAGACAGACAAAGTTACTTTCGCATTTATAATATTAGTAATACTTTCAAGTAATGTGGCGTTGAATTGAAGTAATGTACTGGGCCAAAATAACACCATTGAAAATGAGTCAACTTTGATGCCTTTTAATATATATTACGGTTTGCAAAAAATAACTTAAAAAATAAAGAAAAGAAAGCTTATTTATAAGACTATATTAATTAATTAGTTTTACTCCATAACAACGCCTTTCATGTGAAGGGGTTTTGAGACGGCCTTGTATGGGGCTTTCCCACTGTGCGGTGACCGACGACCGACGGCAGCGGCGGCGATGCAGATTACCTATTCGTTTAAAGGAACTTTAGTTTCAAAAGCCAATTTTTTTTTAACTTGATACACCTAAAACTTCTTAATATGATGTTCCTAGGTTCAGTGGTTAAAATTTTGTATACAAAAAGTTTAGCTTCGTAGTTCCTGTTCCGTTCTGTTCGAATTTCGGGAATTCCGTGTGTAGAATTTCACCCCCACGGTGGTAAAAATAACAAACTATTTTAAATTTCAAATACGCTAGAACAAATGTTTAAATATGTCTTATCAAGTGCTTAAATATAAAGTTTCATGGTTTTATCTTTTAAAATTAAAAAATCCCATATAATCTTTCAACCCTTATTTCACCCCCTCACTGGTCGAAATTTCAAAAACGCTAGAACAAATATTTAAATATATCTTATCTAATGCCTTAATATAAAGTTTCATGGTTTTATCTTTTAAAATTAAGAAATCCCATACAAACTTTCAACCTCTTCATCCCCTTTTTCGCAATAAAGGGTAACCTATGTTTTTTCTCAGGGTCTAAGGATTGTCTGTGCCAAATTTCATCAAAATCGGTTGAGAAGTTAAAGCGGGAAAGCGTTACAGACAGACAGACAGACAGACTTACTTTCGCATTTATAATATTAGTTGTGATTGACTCTCCCCTCGTACCCCAGTGACGCTTAGATGGAGCCTCCATCGCATGCTGGCTAGCTGAGCGCGATGAGCGGCAACCACGCGACTTTTTTCTAATACTTGCATTTTTAAACTCGTGATATCTTCGGAATGAAATGTCCGAATTGAATAATTCAAAGAGTTATAAAAAGGTATTAAAGCCGTCTTGAATATAAAGTAATTTATTTTGATAAGGATTAATACCAAGGTACAAATAAAGAGCCTTTTCAAGCGGCGGCATATAAATTAAATTTTTAGAATAAAAAACCGCTTACTGTGACATAACTATAATATTTAGACATATGCTGTCGCGACACTTTTTGTACATAGATGATGATGAGTTCTGCAAAGTCGTAGTAAATGATTTGGTTCTATCATCAATAGTTTTCGCAGCGCATGCGACGTAAGGAATTTTTCAGATCATTTTTTTACACGTTGGGTTACATTATTGGAGCTTTAGTAAGGATCCCTAATTTTTATTTAAATATAATATAGCTTATATTACTCGGGAATAATGTAGCTTTCCAAAGGTGAAAGAATTTTTGAAATCGGTCCAGTAGTTTCGGAGCCTATTCATAACAAATAAACAAACAAATCTTTCCTCTTTATTATTATAGAAGAAACAATATAATTGATCCTAAAATGAACCCAAAAATATTAAGAGTATCGGCATTCTTGTATTAGGGGGGACCGGAAAGTAATGTCGTTTTCTTACGCTAAATACAAACACATACATTTTTAACGAGTCTTTATTTTTAATCAATGGTGTATTCCCCATCATTGTCAATAACCTTTTGCCATCTAGTGAGTAAATTTTCAATCCCTGATCGATAAAAATTAATTGGTTTTTCGGCAAAATATCTAGAGATGGCATTTTGGATATCATCCAAATTTGCAAATGTTTTGCCACTTAAAAAGTGTTGCAGCGCTCGGAATAAGTGGAAATCCGATGGTGCAACATCGGGCGAATATGGTGGATGAGGCAGCACCTCCCACCCCAATTCATTAATTTTTTCTAGAGTTCGCCTTGCGCAGTGCGGCGGTCTTGCATTGTCATGTTGGAGAATGACGCCTTTTCGGTTGACAATTGCTGGCCACTTTTCAATTAAAGATTGATTGACTCGCTGCAATTGTTCGCTGGAGAGGTCTGCAGTAACAGTTTGTCCAGGTTTCAGTAATTCAAAATGAACAATGCCGCGAATACTCCACCAAACACACAAAAGCGCTTTTTTGGGGTGTAAACCTGGCTTAGCAGTACTCCGAGGGATTTCATTTGGAGAGAGCCACTACCTTTTGCGTTTTGGGTTATCATACAGGACCCATTTCTCATCTCCTGTGATCAAGCGATCAAAAAACGCTTCTGTGTTGTGTCGTTGAAGCAATAAGTTGCATGTGATCGATCGGTTAGCCTTATTCTGTTCGGACAGATTATGCGGGACCCAAACACCTGCTCTGCTTACTTTCCCAATCTGCTTCAAATGTTCTTGGATGGTCGACCAAGGTTTGTTGAGACTGTTTGACAATTCCTCGATCGTCTGACACGGATTTGCTTCCACTTCGGCCCTTAACACGTCGTTGTCTAACGCTGATGGTCTTCCTGATCGATACGAGTCGGAAAGATCAAAATTACCCGATTTGAACTTGGAAAACCACCTTTGGCATTTACGAATGTCCAGTGCATTTGGATAAACATCGCAAATGTTTTTGGTAGCAACTGTTGCGTTATTTCCCTTGCGAAACTCAAAGAGCATGCAATGCCGGATGTGTACCTCTTCTGGTATTTGGCTGGCCATTTTACCCAAAATTACAAAAAAAAAATGTAATTCAATTGTCTATAAGTAAAGAAATCACTATAACCTCACAATGTCTTTGGTACGCCTCTGAACCAAACAATGAGCTGACAAATGACAATCAAGTATTGGCATGCGCAGAAACGACATTACTTTCCGGTCCCCCTAATACAAAATGTCAACAAAAAGTTGTATCAAATGTTCTCATTATTATATACTTTTTAAGATTTTATGTTATTGTTGGATTATGAATGAATAGGCGATATTTACGTGAATATAATTATATTTAAGCCAGAAAGATATTACAATGATATTCAGGCGAACGCGTGTTGACAACTGAACTGAATAAATCGTTTTTTACATATTATATGCCGGGCGGCACTGCTCACGCACTTCGTACTATCTCAACAGTTATGTATACTTTATGTTAAACGATTACAAAGTACTACTGTTAAGTGCTGTATACTTTCATAATGTGTACTTGAGAAGCAAGTTGAACCATTACTTAATAATATTTAATAATATCTTTAAAAGTTTTCTTTGTTTTATCGTTTAAAGAAAATGCTCAGTGACAGTTTATATACGAACAAGGATTTACTGTAAATATTATATTAGGAGACTTATTTTTAATACTGTCTGAATAGAACTCGTGACGAGTTCTTTTGTTTGAGAAACTATATTTTGATTATGTACCCAATATTTTTTAATAAAATAGGTATGTAATTTGACATCTGGTATATATTTCTATGGTCATTTTAAAATAAGTTGAAGTGGTTTAAAGGGCCCCTATCTAACGTGCGTTAGGCCTCGGCCTCGAATCTCGCGGGTAGCGGGGCGGCAGCGGCGGCGGCACGGAAACGCATACTATTCTCCAAACTAGAGGGGAGGGGGCACGGAGAAATGTATGCGTTTTCGTGCCGCCGCCGCTGCCGCCCCGCTACCCGCGAGATTCGAGGCCGAGGCCTTAAACGCTCACCTCCACCGTCCAAGCTCCTCTCTCTACCTCACCTAATTTGAAACAAATATTATATATTTAAAATTAGAGTAACGAAATATATGAAATACTTTGATTTAAGATTTACTTCAATGAATACAAACGAGAAAACCAATTTGCGTATATACCTACTATAAAACTTTAGATGAACGTAGAAGAATCTTCTTCTACCTGGCAATTTCCCATCTTTAGCCAGGATCTGCCTTACATGTCGTGAATAGTTTTGGCTAATTGTTTTACGACCGGCCGCCGCCTGCCTGACATCAACCCTCTCCGAGGATGCATTAATTAGTGATGTATAAATACTCTTAGAAAGTACATATTGAGTCGGAAAAATCACATTGGTGCTTGGGACGATCGAAACCGCGCTCTCATGCATGAGATGCGGGCTTTTTAACCACTAGGCCACCACTGACTTTAATGTTTACATTTTAGACGTATTAAATGAGAACGGTTTGAGAGAAACTACTGTCAATACTTGAAATATAACTATAGGTACATTATATTGTCTTTGATTAAATTAATGAGTTTCTTTCATATGTAGATATCCAATTTTAATAGACCCAATCCGTTATTGAGTCACGGAGGAGTGTAATCCATTTAGCTTATATTTAGTATTCAGAAGGTAAGAGACGGTGAATTCGGGGAATTGTAAATAGGAAGATGGATGGTACTAACGATGTTTCAGATACTATTAGCTTTTATTTTAATAAAACCTGAACACGGTCTAAGGTTGTAAGATAACGACGAGTAAAGCGACGAGTAAAATAAAATTATCGGGAAATCGGCTATTATATCAATTTTAGAGATATTTTCATGTTTATGTAATATTTTATTAACATTTTTTTCTTAGCAAGGAAATGAAAAATTTACAGATATATATAAATACTAAAGAATATATTGGCAGACCCTGGCTAAGGCTGGGAAATTGCCAGGAAGAAGAAGAAGACTAAAGAATAAATTGTTAATTAAGAAGATATCGATATTTTTATGAAACTGATGTAAGTAACTTAATAAAATAAAAAATAAGTTGATTTGAACTGACTGTCTGTCTGATAACTTCGAGTTATTATTTGGGTGTCTTAAAGGTTAAGAAGCTTTTAATTACTGGTACAATACATTTGGTATCTATGTCTTCACGTCAAAATAATTTCAATAATAAGTTATTGTTAACAAAACGCGACCATGAAGAAATATTTGAGAATGTTTATCATACGTACAATATAAGTTATAACAATTTGACGGAGTATGTTATATAACACATATATATATATATGTATATATTATGTAATAAGCAACCCCCCTCCCCCTCTCTTTGATTTATAAAAGTAAACACTAATTATTTTATTAATAACTGTAGTATTGTATCGAGTCCTTCTATTGCTTGTGAACAGTCGGAGCTCTGTACATTCGGCAGCGTGATCATGTTATAATCACATTGTTAGATTCTGTGAGGTATCAACCAACACATTAAAAACTTTAGTTATTTCATTAATTTGTAAGAATTATTAAATTGTTTTGTTTGTAATTAGTTTTTTTATTTATTCTTCTGAACCTAAATATAAATATACATATGCACATAATCGTAGCCGCACACATATAGCAATGTGTAATTCATACCTATTTTATCATATCTGTAATACTCAGTTCTGCGTCTAGCATCTCATCATTCTTTTCCGCTACATTAAACTTAAATAATACATATTTCTTATTCTGTTCTCGTTATATTTTACTACTAAAATATATTACAAAAGGTGTAATGTTGTTGGCGTTTCTTTCTTTAGTTTCTGGGATTTTTGGTCACTTTAAATATTTTACAGAAATATATTTTATTAACACATAGCTTAATCTACATATTAGTTTCTTTGTAATACCAAACACTATAAAAATCATACATAATTAATCCATATCGTCAAACATATTAAGAAACAAAAAGATGTGCAAATATATTCAAATATACGAATACTATCCTTTTTAATTTATTTTTTTTTGGATGTTATTATTAAATATGACTTATTTCAAAATCTTCAGACAATAGATGTTACACAGTTAGTTTCATAAAAACATATTTTCCAACCAAATAAACAAAGGTTTGGATAGCCACTCATTAGTTGTAAGAAATATATACCTAAACATAACCAAAATGTATATACCAAACCAAAATGCATTCAGAATCTAATGCTACCTACCCTTGAAATTTCTTTTCTTTAATTATTAACAGTCGACTGTTCTAAAAATAATAATGTGGGATGATTTAAGGAATTAATAAATGAAATATAATCTAAAATTAATAAAATAAGAATAATTAATTTAAAGTGTTAGCCTTTTACTACGAACCAATGTTTTCAAAAAACAATAAAAAATACTACTTTAAAGCGTACGTTAAAATAGATTATATTAATAAAACGTAATTATTTAAAAATATTGAAACAGACAAAAAAACTGTCCCTCCCAAATTTTAAGCTCGATCAAGCACGTCAGTAGCACTTGAAAGGAAAATGTAGAATAAAACAGAACAAATGCTCTGTTAGTGACAAGATCCGTTTTTATGAAACCTCCCCTTGGTTTCAAAAACATATTTCATCACCGAAATTAAATAAAATAATTGCCTCAAAATGTGAGGTGATTATAATATTTGTAATTCAATATAGACGTTTGAGGTGTAAAAAAGGTTAGACAAAGCTAATTTAGAATATAGAATTTTTTTTTTAATCTATTATAATCATTTTAAAATTATTGGGAAGTAAAGGGATTATTAACCGATACGCATAAGTTATTAAAACGCTACAATCCAAGAAACTTTTGACAAATCAGACTTCTTCCTAATTCTAGACAAGGTTATAAATTAATAAATTATTCAACGAGAATTGGAAATATATTTATAAACTAGATAATATAGAAAGAAAAGCCTAATAAATATTCTAAGTCAAGGAAAGTGTCTTTAAACTGCATATGAGGACAGAAATAGTTTTAACAAAATGATAAATGCGTATACAAACTTCCAAGATATAAACAAAGAAGTATCAATCACATAGGCGATCAAACTGAGACCGTTTCCACTTATTTTCCCTCAATATGTTGTAATGCTAGAATTTACATATAAATGTACCCATCAACTGAAGTGAGTTTAGTGTTGTTACAGAATTTATCTAACACTTTGAATTGGGACAGAAGTCATTGTTCAACATAAGCTACTGAACTTCACATTCACAATTGTTGGTCGTTTTTATAGCTCGTTTTATTTCTCTCTAATTATATGGCGATAAGGCACGGGTTATCTTGTCAGTAAATAGCATATGAATGTTGATAAAAGAAAAACATGTTTAAAAGGCGTAGCTAACGTAACTATATTATAAGTATTAAGTATTACTGACTTTTTATCAAGTATTCAGCATATGTTTGACAACACTATTCCCTAACGTAATTATCAGTTATCTGATTTTGATACAATTTTCCTTGCAGCTAGGGTATTGAAAAAGAGAATCAACTAATATTCAAACAGAGTAGTCAGTTAGCATTAAGCTTACCACTAAATAGCGTGACAACGCTTTCAGGCTTAAAATTTACTGTGCAATAAAATTTTGTCATTTTTGTACTAAATTGCCAATTTAGTACAAAAATGACATCTATAATATTCTTCGAAAAGATATTGTCAATGTGAGAAAGCTTAGCAAAACCGACGCTAATTGAGTAAGACTTATAGTGTAATTATAAATACCGTAAAAGGCTATGAAACTCATCAAGGTATATTTTCTATTAAGCTCCGTGTTGCAGTTAAGAACAGCCACGCCAGCTCGCGTGTAAAACGCTCCAATTACGAGTCATATCTCAATTGCAACACATGAGTTTATGCCGTTTTCTTTTAGGTTGATATAGAAAAACGAAGTTAAATGTCATATGTATTCCTTAACGTAATTGAGAAGACGTAATATGTAGAAATATATTTTAGTTTTATTCCATTAAATTTCTCATGAATAAACAAATAGCAAACAAAACTTACTTGTCTGTC